ATAGTAACAATAATAAAAATAATAATAATAATAATAATAATAATAATAATAATAATAATAATAATAATAATAATAATAATAATAATAATAATAATAATAATAATAATAATAATAATAATAATAATAATAATAATAATAATTATAATAATGATGATGATAAAAATAATAATAATAATAATAATAATAATAATAATAATAATAATAATAATAATAATAATAATAATAATAATAATAATAATAAAATTATAATAATAATAATAATAATAATAATAATAATAATAATAATAATAATAATAATAATAATAATAATAATAATAATAATAATAATAATAATAATAATAATAATAATAATAACAATAATAAAATAATAATAATAATAAATATAATAATAATAATATAATTATAATAATAATAATAATAATAATAATAATAATAATAATAATAATAATAATAATAATAATAATAATAATAATAATAATAATAATAATAATAATAATAATATCGAAAATAATAATAATAATTTTTAAGACAGTGATAATTCACTGGTTTCCTACATTCCACAGTGAGGATAAATAAATTGACATGTCTTACATAACTGTATACACACATACACATACCTCCCCACACACACACAAATAAAGCAGTCATCCTTGGTCATTCTGCATACACAAGGCACTGTGTGTGGATGGGGGAAAACTTTGGCACTTGCCTCATTACAATAATTGCCCTTGAGAGAGTCCGAGGCTTGTCGAGCAAATCAACACTTCTCAGACATGAAGCCATAACAGCCATTTGCAAGTTCAACACCACCAACTCGGCACCATTCCTAAGTCTGGGAATGTGAACTCGGCATCATTCCAAAGTCTGGGAATGTGAAAAGGCATATACTGAAAGGTTGAATTGTGCTATAGGAGGGGAGAGAGGGTGGAAAAAAGACCTTGGGTAGTGAATATTGTTTTGTTGTCTAATAACTTCGAGTAATGGTTCTCATTTTAGTGTCTAATAGCTGAGTAATGTCACTCATTAAGCATCGTCTAACATTAAATATTGACTCATTTATATTGCCTAATAACTTTACATTTTGACTTGTTTATGTTGTCTAATATGAAAATGGGTAGGGCCTCTAAAAGCTTTGTGTGTGTGTGTGTGTGTGTGTGTGTGTGTGTGTGTGTGTGTGTGTGTGTGTGTGTGTGTGTGTGTGGTGTGTGTGTGGTGGGGTGTGTGTGTGTGGTGTGTGTGTGTGGGTGTGTGTGGGGGGGGGACATACATACATACATACTTACATACATCCATCCATCCATCCATCCATCCATCCATCCATCCATACATACATACATACATACATACATACATACATACATACATACATACATACATACATACATACATACATACATACATACATACATACATACATACATACATACATACATGCATACATACATACATGCATGCATTCGATACAGAACACAGGAAGAGATGGAAAAGATCAAAAACTTGTTGCAAGAGACAAGAAGGTTAAATGAGGAAGAAATGAAGAGGAGAAAAAAAAATTCATTTCAGAGTTATTCCAGACAAAGGGGAGATAAAGAAAATAATGGCAGAAGATCAGGGGATGGGGCCTCAGTAAGATTGTTATTCACAAATGCTGATGGTTTAGATGGTAAGGCAGTAGAATTAAATGATAGGATTCACAACAGTAAGGCAGATATAGCAGTTACAGACACTAAGTTGAGTGAGGACATAAACAGTGTCACAGTTTTTTCTAAGGGCTTCAGAATATTAAGGGTTGAAAGATCTGAGAGGACTGGTGGAGGGATAGCACTGCTCATAAGTGAAAGGATTCAGGTTGAAGAAATAAACTTGGCTATAGAAAGTGAGTTCAAGGAATTTCTTATTGCTCGCATAAATACTGGGTCAGAGAGCATAATAATAACTGTTGTATATAACCCACCAAGGAACCAACATAGACTAGAAGTTTATGAGGAAAGTAATGTAGGTACTATTGAAGTCATAAACTCAGTTGTAAACATAACACGGGAGAGAAAATGTAGGATTTTGATTATGGGAGATTTTAATCATAAAGAGATAGATTGAATAAATCTTGACCCACACTGTGGTGAGGACTCATTTGGGGCAAGATTCCTAGATTGTGTACAAGGGAATTTCCTACACCAACATGTAATGGAACCAACGAGGGCCAGGGGTGAGGATGAGCCATCACTAATTGATCTAGTATTCACAGATAACGTGTTGAATATTGAAATGGGTATGTACCACCAATTGGAAAGAGGGACCACTGTGTGTTGTTGATGGAGTATATCATTGAGGAAATTCTGCCTGAAAGTAGAGGCACTGAGGACATGAGGAGGATCTATCCGGAGGGAGATTACATCAAAATGAATGAACTTTTTGCAGTTATTGACTGGAGAACCTTATTTTACGACAAATCTGTATAAGAAATGTACGACATCTTTTGTGAGAAATATGGGAAGATAGTATAGCTAGAGAGAAATGATTCGATAATGAGTGTAAAAGAGCTTAGGAGTGGAGAGACAAATGCTGGAAAAGGTATAGGAAGAGAAAAAACATAAATGCCCGGCAAACCTCCAAAAGAGAAAGAAATTATTACCTAAGTAAAAGAAGACAGGCAGAGAGAGACTATGAAAGGGACATCACCAGGAAGGTTCAAGAAAATCTCAAGCTTTTCCACAGCTTTATTAGAGGAAAACTGAAGGTAAAAGAACAGGTTTTAAGGCTTAAGAGAGTGGACGAAAGTATCACTGAGACGGATGAAGAGATCTGCAAAAAATTGAACAAGGAGTTTCAGGCAATATTTGCAGTAGAAAATACTCCACCCCCTCAGATTGTAGAGATAGAAGCTCACAGGCCGGTATTAGAGAACATCAACCTTTCAGCCACAGAGGTATGCAAAGCGCTGATGGAGTTAGATGTCCATAAAGCTACAGGCCCTGATGATATATCCCCCAAGTACTTAAAAGATGCATAAACTCAATATCAGTGTCACTAAGTATCATATTTAAGATGTCACTGAAGTCAGGGTAGATTCCAAGATGCTGGAACCAAGCAAACGTGATACCTATCTTCAAAAAGGAAAGGAGGGATACGGCTCTAAACTATAGACCAGTTTCCTTGACCAGCATAGTTTGCAAACTTATGGAGAAACTACTAAGGAAGCATATCTCTCTTCACTTGGAATTCTTCAACTTTTTGTCAGTGAGACAACATGGCTTCAGAGAAGGTAGATTAACAGTAACAAACTTATTAGAGTTTTATGATGAGGAAAACCGAATCTCACAGGAAAGAGAGGGCTGGGTAGATTGCATATTCCTAGACTTCCAGAAAGCATTTGACACTGTTTCACACGGGAGATTTATTAGGAAGCTGCAAGCAATGGCTAGAATAGGTGGAAATGTCTTGGAATGGATAAAAACTTACTTAGAAGGAAGGGAACAGAGGGTTAGAGTAAGACAGTGTCTAACTGGAGAAGAGTTAGTAGTGGAGTTCCACAGGGTTCGGTTTTTGGGCCACTTTTGTTCCTTGTATATGTAAGTGACCAACCAGAGTCTGCAAATTCATTCATGAATATGATTTCAGATGATGCAAAGATTGTGAAGAAAGTAAGAAACGAGAACAATGGTTGAGAACTTCAGGAAGATCTAAATAGTCCCCATGACTGGTCAGAAAAGTGGCTAATGAAATTCAGTACTTCAAAATGTAAGGTATTGAGAATGGGTACAAGTGCAAGAAGGCCCAAGCTTGACTACTCGGTGGCAGGAATACAACTTCAAGAGACAGAAAATGAGAGATCTAGGAGTAAACATACTGGCAGATTTGTCTCCAGAAATACATATAAATGGCATAGAAAGGGCAGCATATGCTTTCTTATCAAATGTAAGGGTAGCATTCAGGCACATGGACAAGGAAATGTTCAGAAATATTTATGTAACCTATGTGAGGCCAAAACTTTAATATGAAGCCCCCATTTGGAATCCACACTTGAAAAAGCACATAGCTAAGCTTGAAATAGTTCAAAGACATGCCACGAAACTGGTACCAGAAATACGAAATCTCAGTTATGATGAGAGGCTGAGGGAATTAGACTTACCATCACTCGAAGCTAGAAGATTGAGGGGAGATATGGTAACAGTCTATAAATTCCTTCATGGTTATGATAGAGTGGATAGGGATCTATATCTTGATATGGCTGGCTCTAGAACTAGAGGACATGGGTTGAAGCTTCGTAAGAAAACTTCTTTGCAGTATGTAAGGAAGTACTTTTTCAGTGTAAGAGTAGTTGATAACTGATATTTGCTAAGCGAGGAGATAGTTAATGCTATCTCAATCCATAGTTTTAAGGACAGGTATGATAGGTATCACTAAGTACAAAGTGGAACCGATCTGGAGACGGGAAGATACGAGCTTTGGGCTCTTGCCCGTAAGCACAATTAGGTAATCACAATTAGGTAAACACATAAATATATACATAAATCAATAAATAAAAACTTCCTTAACTAAAGCTTGAAATGTAATGACTCAATAAAGTAAGAGTAAAATATTACACCATCTTAACGTAAGTTATAAAAACTCTCTCTCTCTCTCTCTCTCTCTCTCTCTCTCTCTCTCTCTCTCTCTCTCTCTCTCTCTCAGAAAGGGTAGACGAGAAAATTGGCCAAACCTCCTTTTTTTATTTCTTTTTTGCCTCTTCTCTGTCACAAGTGATATACGATGGAGAGAACTTCCGGCCCCCCAAAAGGGCATTTTTCGGTCCTAACAACTTCGATACGAGGAAAGAAATAAAAAATCGAGAAAAGGTCGTAGTTAGAGAGACAAATTACTCCTGTAGTTCTGAAGTCTTCTCGTTTGTTAAAGATTACGAGAGAGAGGTAGAACTGTCCTATTTAGAAATAAGTATAGGAAATACTTTTACAGAGATAAGATGGTTCCTTTAGACGGTCCTTACAGTTAGTTATAATAGTGGCCTCCGTGGCCAAGTGGTAATGCTCGAGACTTTGATTCGTCAGGTCGTGGGTTCGGGACCTGCCAAGGTCTAAGGTTAGAAAGGGCATTCACCCAAGGTAACGGTCGCACTTGCCAAAACACAAGTCCTTCGCAAGAAGGCCCCATCCTAGCCCTTGGAAGTAGAAAATGGAGTTCGTGACGTAAAGCAAATAATTTTTATATAGCATTAAGTGTAGGAAAAGCTACTATTACAGAGATAAGATCGTTATTTAAGTTAGAAATAACAGTACAGCCTACTTTTACAGAGAGAAGATTGTTCATAACGTTGGCAAAAGATGGTTTTAGAGAGGAAAGATCGCTTTCAAAGTTAAGAAAAAAAAATTATTGTAGGAACTGCTATTACAGAGATAAGATTGTTCTTAAAGTTAGAAATATCTATATGACATATTTCTACATCGACGAGATCGCTCCCTAGGTTGCAGATAACTGTAGAAGATACTATTACGGATATAAGCTCGTTCGAAAGAGCGTTGTTACGATTAGATATATATATCTACATCTGGCAGATACTTTCTCGTAGATAAGATCGTTAACAAGGTCAACATCTAACCATAAAAACTGCTAAAAAAAACAAGAAATAATATCGTTCTAAAGATAATTTGTTAGGTTAGAAATGATTGTCAGAGATACTTTTACAGATATAAGATCGTTTTAAATTTGTATTTTACCGTAGAAGCTGCCTATAGAGGAATGAGATCGCTCTCTAGCTTAATTCTAAGCTATGAAGTTAAAACTAGTTTTACAGAGCTAAGATCGCTCTCAGCGTTTCAAGAATTTGGCATTTGAGGTCAGGAATGTTGATAAAGAATAAACGGAGCTTCTTGAGCTTGGAACAACAATAAATAAATAATCTACTAAATAAATAAATAAATAAATAAATAAATAAATAAATAAATGAATAAATAAATAAATAAGTTTATTAATAAATAAATAAATAAGTAGATAAATAAATTAGTAAATAAATAAATGATAAATAAATGCATAAAATAGATAGATGAATAAATATATAAACAAATAGATAAAAATAACACTTTTTGCCTAGCAATGCCGAATAATGAATCAGACCTATATTTTCATAGTGTGAGAATAAGTTAATGACTTCATTGCATGAGTACAGGAACCATAGACCTTCATACGGGAAGCAATTACCCCTGTCAGCTCAACAGCGTCAATGAGCTTCGATGACGAACCCGTTTCACTTCACGAACCCCCTTTTACAGTAAGGGCTAAGGCCCGATTTCTTAAGCAGGGTAAACCTACGATACCATATTGTTAGTTAGCTAGACACACATAAACGGATTTCATAAACGCATCTGACGCGGTTATGTGTATGGCTAGGATCCCGTATGGGATCCTTGCCATACACAGAACCGCGACAGATGCGTTTATGAAATCCATTTGTGTGTGTCTAGCTAACTAACAATGTGGTATCCTAGCTTTACACTGTTTAAGCAATAGGGCCTTAGCCCTTACTGGAAAAGGGGGTTGGTGACGTAAAAACGGTTCGTCATCGAAGCTCATAGACGCTGTTGAGCTGACAGGGGTAATTGCTAAAAAGAAAAAAACTCCTTTCTAGGGACTTTTGTTTGGGCAGTGCTTGTGCATCAAAAAAGATAAAATTTTGCTCTCTGCAGCTCAAGAGGAAAAAAAGTTTAAATATTTGGTTTAGTTCGGCACCACAGCAAGCGTATGCATAAATCGATAAACTTAAGAGATTTATTACGCGATGCAGACATACTTTATAGGCGCTGTGCCACCCGGGAGCAATATTCTGTGGGCAATAGCGTAACTGATATGAAGATTAGACAGAGAAAATTTGCATTACCAAGTATCGCGTGTGCAGTAATACGATATGTACACGGAAAGAGATATAAAGAGGTATTTTGTGTGTGTGTAATAAGTATCTGTGTACACAAACAAAGAGATATAAAAAGGTAATTTTCGTGTGTGTAATAAGTATCCGTGAACACAAGGAAAATGATACAAAAAGGTATTTTTTTGTGTGTGTAAAAAGTATCTGTGTACACACGGAAAGATATAAAAAGGTAATTTTCTGGTGAGCTGTACATGAAAAGAGGTATTTTTTTTTATTTTTTGACAAATACGGCCTTTGCTTATATGGTCCATATGAGAGACCAAGCTTATGAAGATACTGCTGCATTACTGACTCCAGACATTTTAATGATATACTTATTGAAGCTGATGAGATAACATAAGCTATCAACTGAGGGAAGACCCTACCCTCTCTTTGTCATCCACAAATGCTTTTGGCAGAAGAATAGCTGCGAGAACCCCAACTGATAGTTGAATCGGGGACTTTTGGGGTGAGGGCTAGGTTGTGTTCAAATAGTGTTCGTTTAATATAGGATGGAGGACATAGTAATATTTCTTAATGTTTATAACACGAATGATAAAACTACTACTACTGCTACTACTACTACTACTACTACTACTACTACTACTACTACTACTACTACTACTACTACTACTAATAATAATAATAATAATAATAATAATAATAATAATAATAATAATAATAATAATAATAATAATAACAATAATAATAATAATAATAATAATAATAATAATAATAATAATAATAATAATAATAATAATAACAACAACAACAATAATAATAATAATAATAATAATAATAATAATAATAATAATAATAATAATAATAATAATAATAATAATAATAATAATAATAATAATAATAATAATAATGATAATAATAATAATATCCCGGATGACATTTTGTCTTTAGTGAAAAAGAAGCATTACGAAATCAATCTCTCTCTCTCTCTCTCTCTCTCTCTCTCTCTCTCTCTCTCTCTCTCTCTCTCTCTCTCTCTCTCTCTCTCTCTCTCTCTCTCTCTCTCTCTCTCTCTCTCTCTCTCTCTCTCTCTCTCTCTATCTATCTATCTATCTATCTATCTATCTATCTATCTATCTATCTATCTATCTATCTATCTATCTCATTGCCGCTACTTTCACCATCAAAAGTGACACACATCCCTTTTCTTCAATTCCAAGCAATTCCAACAAAACATGATAGGAAAAGGTATTGGACCGCAATGAATACTTGAATAACCATTCCCATTCCTAAATTCCGTCCTTTTCTGTTTGCTTTCCATCAAAAGGCATTTTGGGTACGAGGAAAAAATGAGAGAATTCGAAAGAGCTTGCCCCCCCCCCCCCCTTGCCTTTTCACTGGGACACCAATTTTTTTCATCTTGTATTTTTGTATATTTTATGCCCTAAGCGAAAATATTCTTCTGGGGTATTTGGATGTTGTATAGTGTGTGTGTGTGTGTGTGTGTGTGTGTGTGTGTGTGTGTGTGTGAGAGAGAGAGAGAGAGAGAGAGAGAGAGAGAGAGAGAGAGAGAGAGAGAGAGAGAGAGAGAGAGAGAGAGAGAGAGAGAGAGAGAGAGAGAGAGAGAGAGAGAGAGATTGTTATGACCATGAAGGAAACTGAATCAGAACTGGTATTTCGTAGATAAGAAAAAGCTTTATAAAGCCAGAACTCTGATAATAGTCTATTGAAATCGAAAGTATTTACCAACTCAATTGTCTCATTTTCCTTCGAGAATAATATGATTATTTATTCCAAGTGTTTCTAGAGGAATAAATAGTCACTCACACACACACACACACACACACACACACACACACACACACACATATATATATAATATATATATATATATATATATATATATATATATATATATATATATATATATATATATATATATATATATATATATATATATATATATATATATATATATATATATATATATATATATATATATATATATATATATATATATATTACCACACACACGCACGCACGCATGCACACACAACTTGAGGCGAGATAGTATTTTACAAGAGACCCAAGTCTAGTGGTTAAATGATATCTATTAAGAGGAAATAAGCTACTCTTATCTCTCTCATAACTGGTATTGAAAAAGCTTTTCAAGTGGAGATTCTGTACTTTTATTCACACCATTTTTAAGACTGATTTAAGAGGGAATCAATTAACTTAATTGAATCAAATCAAGTGGCGAAATCAATATCTTTAAGAGGTAATATGCTATTCTTAATTAAACGCAATCTAGTATTGACGTCATGTCGATTAATAGGAAGATAGTTCCTCTTACCTGAACCAAATTAAGTGGTTATACAAGAGTTTTTCTCGTTAGAAATTAGGTATTCTTATTTCAAGCATATTTCTTGGTGCTATATATTTTTCCTAAGAAGCACTGAGGTACTCTTATCTGAACAGAAACTAATGATGACAAGAGTCCCAAGGGGTTATGAGGCACTCTTATTCGATCAAATTCAAGTTGTAAAGTAATATTTGTAATGGAAATTTTCTTACGTTTTTATTTCAATCCAATTGATAAAATAACGTTATAATTAGAAAACCTGATTACACTTACTTTGAACCAAATTTAGTGATGAAATGAAGGGTTCTGATAGCTTTAAAAGGATATGCGGAAAAGGGTTCTCGTAGCTTTAAAGAAAAAAGTAAAAGAGAAAGAGTGATGAAGGGTTCTGACAGATTTAGAAAAGAGAGGAGGGAACGGGTTCTGATAGTTTAATAAGGAAGTGGGTAAGGGTGTTCTCATAGCTTGAGCGGAAAAAGTAAAATGGAATGACTGTGAAAGGGTTCTGATAGAATTAGGAAAAATAAGAAATGAGGACAAGTGTTTTCTGAGCTTACAAGATGAAAATAAAAGGGAATGAGTGGGAAGGGTTCTGATAGACCTAGCTGAGGTTAAAGGGAAAGGGTTCTGATAGCTTAAGACCAAGATAAATATGGAAAGGAGGTACAAGGAGAAGAAGACTCAAAAAAAAAAAAGTGAGGAGACTGCATAGCAGCGGTTCTGAAAGAGAAGGGCCTGGATATCAACATGACATGCGACAGAGGCAGGTAGAGGAGGCTCATCAAAAGACAGCGACCCCGCTTGAAGACGAGCTAGTAGAGCTGATGAAGATAGCTTAAAAAGGAAGGGGTT